GTTCGTGTGGGAGCTATCCCAGTCTAGAGCAGTGAAAGAGTATGAGTCCTCCTGCCCTGGGGAGGAAGGAGCAGCAGAGTCAATGTGTGATTCTGTGACCACAAGCCCCATTCACTGTCCCCCTGCACCGCTGGGATGAGAGGAGGTGGAGAATGGGGGAGTTCAGCCTAGAAAGAAGGGAGAGATGTGTGGAAGGTGTTTTTAAGATATAATTTTATTTCTTATTATCCTACTCTGATTTGATCAGTAATAAACTAACTAATTTCTCCAAGTCAAGTCTGTTTTGCCCATGACAGTAATTGCTGAGTGATCTCTCCCTGTCCTTATCTCAACCCATGAGCCTTTGGTTATATTTTGGTCCCCTGTCTAGTTGAGGAGGTGAGTTGCAGAGCATATTTGGTGGGCACCTGGAGTCCAGCCAGGGTCAACCCACCACACTTGCTGCAAGTTTTGCTTAAAGAAAATGCACTTTAGAGGCTTTATGGATAAACTATGCCAGAAATAAGGTTGTTCATACATGGTAATGCACTTTTAAAAATCAGACAACCTTCACTCAGTTATCCAAAATGCTGTTTTCCCATTTCGTTTCTTTTTTCTTCAACATAGCTCTCACACTGCATTATACTTTATGCCATTAAAAATCTACTTTGAGGACCAAATACGTAATATTTTAAGATTAATCCCATGTTCTTTCTTATGAGATAATCATTCTGAACTAACTCATTGACAACTCAGGTCTGTTTCAATGGATTTTAACTTGATGGGGGTTAGAGTTTATAGAGATACCAGTATTCTTTCTTCCTGTTCCCCACAGCTCAGTTTCCAGTGAGGAAGGTTCAATGATAAAGAAAACATTTACATGAAATAGTTATTACATGCATCTGCTTTTCTCCTCCTCTGAGAGCAATTACGAACTGTTCGAAAAGGGCTGTCCTTGAATGCAGTATTTCTGGTGTATCACCACCCGCAACCGTAGCAATAGAAGTACCTGTGCAGGCTACCCTGCTGTGTTAAACTACAAGCTATTAACTATTCTCAGAACTTTTCTAAATAATGTTTGGAACCCAACCACTATTACTCAGTTTATCTTAGAGTATGTCATGGATGTTACTGTGCAGCTAAACATCCATAGTAACAAAAAAGACAAAACTTCAGCAACTGTGTCAAGAAAAAAAGAAAGCATATATGTTTTTATTTTCTTTGAATTTTATAAAGCGTGAGTGTAGTGCCATGGATCATTTTTTGTGGAAATTGGTCAGATTTCCTCAAGTCAGATTTCCTCGGAGAAGTACATTATGATTATGAATTATGAGAAAATGAAAGATTTTAGGTAGTAGTTTTGACTATTAGGAAATTTTCCTTTTTGTTAGAACTAAAGAAGCATTGTTTGCTGAGGAGATTTGTACCCATTCACATTATCTGAGGGACTCAGAGCCTTTCAGTTACAGTGGAGCCTGAGATAGCTGGGGTCAAGAGGCAGGTTGGAACACCTAATCATTAGATTTTGTGCTGCTGCTTAGAAATTGTATGCTTATCCCCCTTCTCCACAGCTGTCATTGGCCCTGCAACTCTCAAGCCAGGAACATATTTCTCTGAGGTCATGCAGATTTTTCTGCCATGGAGCTATGTGGAAATAAGGGCAAAAGTTTTGGAAGAACAAGTTTGGGCGTTCCTGGGCATGATTTTGATTGTGTAAGCTGATCTAGAAAACCTTGAGCTTCTGTCATGTCCTTTAGTCTTGAGCCAGTGAAGGGAATACCTTCAGCAGAGTGATGGTTGCTTTGGAATAGATTAGGAAAGTTTGCAAGGGGAGGTGTGAGAGAATCCTGCTGATTTAGAACTGGAATGCGATAGAGAGCTTCTGTTATTTGAAATGGAATATACTTTCCCGACATGCTTGTCTTGTTGCAGTGATGTCTATAATTGTGATCGTGGAAATGAGGAGGGTGATGTGGTCCATGATGGGGAGGAGAATGGTGGTGATGTGGTCCATGAGGAGGGGGAGGACAGTGTGGTCCATGATGGGGAGGTGGATGGTGGTGATGTGGTCCATGAGGAGGGGGAGGACAGTGTGGTCCATGGTGGGGAGGAGGATGGTGGTGATGTGGTCCATGAGGAGGAGGAGGGCAGTGTGGTCCATGGTGGGGAGGAGGATGGTGGTGATGTGGCCCATGAGGAGGACAGTGTGGTCCATGGTGGGGATCAAGAGGAGGAGGATGTGGTGCATCATGGGGAGGAGGAGCAGAAGGGGAATGTTGTGATTCTTCTTGGGGAGGAGGATGTGGTCCATCATGGTAAGGAGGAGGGGGATGATGTGGTCCATCATGGTAAGGAGGAGGGGGATGATGTGGTCCACCATGGGGAGGGGGTGGAGGACAGTGGTGTGGAGGGTGAGGGTGATGATGTGGTGCACCACTGGGGGGAGGAGGAGCAGGTTCTTCATGGCTGTCTTGATGTTCTTCGTTGAAACTATGGTTATGCTCAGGGTCTTCAGGTCTCGACTGAGAAGAGGGTGGACATCCATGCTTGTGATGATGTCTGTGATGATGTCTGTGACCAAAATGATGATGGGTATGTCTGTGTGGTTGTCCCAGAGCTGAATATCTACATCTTTTCCCATAGCCATGCTTCTGTTTATAAAAACACCAGGGGAGAAAGTATTAAGATGTTAGTAGCACAGAAGAAAGTGGTGAGAAAGAGACAGAGGTGAGAGTTAGTAGGCTTGCATTTACAGATCTGTAAGCAAAAACAAACAAACCAAAACCCTGCATTTTTTCACAATAGAAGAGAAGGAGTAGATGATAAAATGCTGAATTACTGAAAATTATCTGGAAATACTATACCATAACAAAATAAGAAAAATTTGTGATGTATCAAAACCAAATAAACCCCACAGGGGGGTAGCTGTTTTAATACAAACTGGAGTGCCAAGTATGGTAAAAATCATCTCCCCTCCTCTTGCTTTCTAAAATTCCTCTGAACTTGTTTGCCAATCTCTATTCACTTTACCTAAGGAGTATGATTGGACTAAGAAACCCTTGGAGGGAGTAGAAGGGACAGCTCAATTCTAATACATCCACTGATTGACCTAGCAGTCAAAAGCCAGACTGTCCTGACATGCTGCATCACACCCAGGCAATAATAAAGGGGCATAAACCGTCACTGCAATCATCTGTCAGTCTGGACTAAGTGAGGTTGCTGTAGCCTGCATGAGGATATAACCAGAGACATTTCAGTAGGTGAGTACATACCAAGGGATGGTAGATTTCACAGCTTATATCTGTTCCATCAGGTTCATCTGAGCCACTGATAATTCTTGCCTTGCAGAATCCCACATGCTAAGCAAAAGAAGTCAAAAAACAATGCACATCTGGGTTCTTGTGATGGAGTTAATAGAAGCTACTGAAAGTTCAACATTTTAAAAGTTAGGCTAGTTCCTTCAATACCTAAGTATGTTTATGTAACTTAGCTAGATCCTGAGCTTTCTGACCAGTGATACTTGTCAGTGGTTAATCATGATTGAAATATATGCCATTTTTTAGTATTCTTTACTGTGAAGACCACTTCACCATGGGCATGTAGAGAGTGACTACACTATAATTTACTTCTCTTTTGATGTCTGTAAGAAATTGCTCACCTACAGATGTTTCCAAAATGAGTACCCCATGGGTGGCTGATCTTTTTTTTTTCTTTTTTTTTTCTGTCTTTACTTGTAAAATATCTGTTCAGACTGGCTATGCAGAAGTTTTTTTCAAAGTCCTCAAACCCAGGCACTGTGTAGCTATGCTGCTTCACACAAAGCTCAAGGTAGAGCTTTGTCCTGTATGTATTGTTTAGGAAGTAATTTTTCATGATCTTTTAGCATTACTTCCCTTAGCATTCTGTTTGCTGTGACTTTCACCTGCTGTCCAGTCGTTGTGTCTGGAATTGCTGATGTGAAAGTGCACAGAACTCGGGTAAAGGATTCTGTGTATGTTGTCTGTAGTGGATGTTGATATACGTTTGGGCCGTTAGTACCCTGTTACTATCAACGACTGCGTATGTTAATAGCATTTTACACGCATACACCAGTGGTGCCAGCATTGAGAACAGAATTGAAAACCTTTAGCTATGTGGCTTGTCCATTCTAGTGAACTTCTGGCTCTGCTACTAGTTCATTCACAACCCTTCCCAGTCATCTGGAATATAAAGAGCCAGAGGAGAAAATGGATGAAGATAAAACAAAAGTTCTACATATTTTATGTTTCCATATTTTTGATTCCTTCAATTTAATTTCTGAAATTTAATCTGAAATTAGGACCTTGCCTTGTTGTTTCTTTGTGTAGACTATTATTGCAATGGGAAGGTGGGGTGAGGAGAGTACTTTGATAGTAATCTGCAGACAAGCCTGAATTATTCCACTCTCAATTCCCCTGCAACAGAGGAAAAAAGGAAGTAACCCTGGGCTCACTGGGATGACAACACATGCATTTTTTTTCAAGATCTATGATTCATGTTAGTGTGAAGGTTTGTATGAATGATTTACTAGGGAATGGCCACAATTTGAATATGAAAGCCAGTTATAAACTGAAAAGCTCGCCTCTAGGCCTGTAATATACCTGACTCCAGTTACATTTAGATTTGAGAGTTCATACTGGTTCCTTACAGAATAAAAAGGAGCAGCAGTAAAATTAGGATCTGGACATGGACATTCTGAATTTTTAATTTCGAGCTGGGGTGCATGCTTGTAAGAAACACTTGGAAATATTGTGGGAAGATCTTTCTGGTGCTGCCATTTTATCAGTTCTCATTCTAAGACTTTACTTACAGTATGCCAGTCATCCAGAAAATCACATTCCAATGTCTGATCTGCTTGTCGTGCGGATTTGGAACAGTTGGTCTCTTTTATAGAAAATCCTAAAATGTGACCTTCATGGGAGGCAACCTGAAACCAAGAGGTCAAACAGGAAGTGGTAACTAGGTGTATTTAAACTTCTGTAATTATAAAAGCAACCATACTTCATATTGTTGTCAAAATCCCATCCACCTCATGCTTTCATTACCTGTGCTGTTCAGATGTTCATATATATATGGTAAGGAAAATAGATTATATTTTTTATACCATACTTTCTGCAGACCTTTTTGAGTTCCAAGAATGGTTGCTTTATTTCTTTGTCTGGTATGTGTATGTATTAAGACCTGTTACTTTTACAGTCTGTGTTTTTAGGAAGTAGTGTCCTTAGAGTCTTCTCCCTAAATTGAACTGCTGCTCCTGTGAAAGTACAGAGATCTACTGGATGGCAGCGACCCCTTTCCAGTGATGGGAATGCATAGTACTACAGTGCTGATGTTATTTTGGGATAAAATTTTGCCAGTTACAGTGAGATCATTGCTTTCTGTGTTGTCAGTGGCATTATTCATAGAGAAGGTATTGTTCCATAAGAACATGAGAGAAAGCCTTTGTGATCCTAGTAAAATCCATAAAAAGGTGTTTCATTTTAATTTCCAACTGTAGTAGTAGTTTATTTTAAGTCTGTGTGGAAGATGTCCATAGCATGTGTGTGCACACAAGTTTCATTAGCTTAACTGGTTAAAAGTGGATGCATATACTTTTTTTCATAATTAATATTTTCTAAGTGTTATGGAGTCTGTTGAAATCCACTGGTGCAATATATATTGCCACTGTAGCTAAAGGCAGCGAAATTTGAAGGCAAAGCATTTAGGGAAAAATCCATGAATCAGGCAATCTGAAAACAGCCACTTGCTAAATGGGAGTAGGGGTACGCTGCACAGGACTGCAGTGTAGAACACTGTAAAGTTTCTGAGCAGTATTAAAAGCTGCAGGGAGATGGGGTTGACATGGTATAATTCAAGCAGTTTCCAAGATCAACATGTATTATGGGACGGGCCATGGGACCTCATTACTGAGGTGTCCTGAACTGACATGTGTTGGCAGATGATCCTGTGCTGTTTAAGCGAAAGTCTCCAGTATCTACCAATAAGAAATTGTGGTGATGTGAGAGTTATACTTCAAATCACACAAAGGATAAGTCTTCATCGTGACATCACTCAAAGGTGGAGGAGTTATTTACTACAGCCAGCAGTTCTTCAAGAGACACAGCACAGATGCAAATTTACCTCCTGTTATTCAGAGCTCTTGGAGTGCTGCTTTGCTCTGCAGCAGAGATTCAAAATGCTAAATATTCTAAGAGTAGAAAATTATCTGATTTCAGTTGATAGAATGTGCATCTGTAATAATACAATGACTGTACGTCTTGAAGAACTCTGTTCAGTAGTAAACACATTCTTTTATGTTATGGTATGATAGGTAAATAGGCATTCAAAATAAAACTAGTTACACAAAGAAGGCTCCAACATGTTGGTTGCCATAGGTTTTAGCAGATGAGAAGTCCTTTTGCTTTCACATGCCTAAATTAAAGTTAATAACAAGTCTTTGCAGGAATAGGACCTTCAAGTCTAAGCAGATGGTTTACACTGAATGGTAACAAGCAATAAATAGTTCTCATCCTAGGAAGGTCTGAGTTCTGGTCCCATGGGTTTGAGCTCCTCACAAAATTTTGTCATTTATAAGTAATTTTAGGACAAAATACCACTTACCATCTTTAAAATCTTTTCAACTTTGTCCACACCAAAATAGTTTGTGTGGTTACCCTCATTGTTGAATTTCTCCAGGGCCTTTGCAGCAATACTTTTATATTGCTCGGTGACTTCTAAGATTTCAACTTTCACAGGACAATCTTTGCACTCTAATAAATCTGGCGGAACTGTGGAAACAGAGAATTTACTAATATTGCAATGGATATTAATACTTGTGGGAGTGTGCATGAGCCTTTAATGTGAACTCATAATGAGAAACTGAAATGCAAACATTTCCTTGGAAGTGTAATACCTATGCCTCACTCCTCAAATATGGGTTTGTCCTATAATGTGAAAAAACCTAAACTTGTGAAAATGAATATTCTTATAAATATTTTAGCTCAACCTTAGAAACTTACCTCCCCAAAGGGCATCCTTTCCAAGTTTAGGTTTGTCCTGATACTCATTATCATGCTATGGTGGACTGGAATGGTGATATCATCTGACTTTAATAAAGTCTGCTTTAGAAGAGCATGGTAACCTTAATTCTATTACTCATTCTTAACATTCCATTTGAATTATCTAAAATATGAATTACAAGCAGATGAATGAATCTGCTATGTGGTTACCATATACTAGTAGTGTACAGACTTGTAATTTGGTACTAGGACTGGTTTGAGGCATGCATTGGCTTACAACAGTGATTATTTTACCTGGACTTAATGTACAGTTAAATCCATATAGTTTAGGTTTCTCCCGCAGATGGCTTGTATGCATGATAATCTTACACTGCCCAAAGTCCTGAGAAGAAAAAAGGATATGTGATTATGATGTTACTTTCTCTGGATTTAATTGGATGTAGGTGATCTCAGAAATTACACCTCCTTTTAATGTACAGTACTTCTAAGAATAATAGTTGTGGTCATTAACGGAATGTTTGATCTGGTACCTCCCAAAATTTCTGTTCAGATAAAATGGGATATCCCTCTACAAGAGCCTTTATTTTAATTCTCAGTTTGCATGACTGAGTAGACAATGAAAAACTAAACCAGCTTTCTCAGTCATTCTAATACTTACAGTAATATAATACTAGCTAACAGGGGAAGTTAGGATGACAGAGATACTCAAGGTTACATAAATCTCTATCAAAAAGTGGATGGACCTTTTCTTCCATTCCTTTTCCTCAACTTAATAAAAAAATAAATCACTCTTCTAACTCCTCTCTCCTCTCCTCTCCTCTCCTCTCCTCTCCTCTCCTCTCCTCTCCTCTCCTTCCCTCT